GTGAGTCAATACACCATACAAGCTTTTAGCCTGAGCAGTTAGTTAGAATATTAAAATGTAAGAAAAGGTTTGCAAAAGATGAATTTATCTCTGTTCTTGAGTTTCAAGGTGCAATCCTCAGAAGAGGGCAAAACAAATGGAAACATAAGCCTGGAGCTGAGAGGAAGAATTAAATTCCAGAGTTATCAGCAGGAAGGTATGTGATGGTCAGATTCTAGGAGATAGGTACTATCATCAAGGGAAGTAATAAAACAGAAAAAAGACAGAATTCTCAGAGCCTGTAGTCTGAGGAGGGGAGGAATGGTCTAAAAATTGGAAGGATGAAGAACTGCCACAGAAACCAAAGGAAAAGGTAAATAAGTAGAGGTGCTCATAGGAGCAAATGCTGTAGAATAACTTCATTGGTTCAAATCTGAGACAATGATGGTTGCAGTCTTGGTAATCAAAACTATGTAAAAAGAGAAAAATTTAAGACAAGATTCAGTTCAGTTACTCAGTCATGTCCCACTCTTTGCGACCCCATGAACCGCAGCACGCCAGGCCGCCCTGTCCATCACCAACTCCTGGAGTCCACCCAAACCACCCAAACGCATGTCCATGCACTGAATATGTCAGCAAATTTGGAAAACTCAGCAGTGGCCATAGGGCTGGAAAAGGTCAGTTTTCATTCCAATCCCCAAGAAAGGCAATGCCAAAGAATGCTCAAACTACCACACAACTGCACTCATCTCACACGCTAGCAAAGTAATGCTCAAAATTCTCCAAGCCAGGCTCCAGCAATACATGAACTGTGCACTTTCAGATGTTCAAGCTGGTTTTAGAAAATGTAGAGAAACCAGAGATCAAATTGCCAACATCCACTGGATAATTGAAAAAGCAAGAGTTCCAGAAAAACATCAATTTCTGCTTTATTGACTATGCCAAAGCCTTTGTGTGGATCACAATAAACTGTGGAAAATTCTGAAAGATATGGGAATATCAGACCACCTGACCTGTCTCTTGAAAAACCTGTATGCAAGTCAAGAAGCAAGAGTTAGAACTGGACATGGAACAACAGACTGGTTCTAAATAGGAAAAGACAAGATTAGTTATTACAAATATTCAGTTCTTATAAAAAGGAGGAAATTTTGAAAGACTTAAAATGTACCCTTGGCACCTTGCTCAGGACCCACACCAGAAGTCAACCTCACAGATCACACAGTGTTCAAGAAGTCTATTTAGATGAGGGTTAAAAGGACAATCAATTTTAAAATAAAAACATCAGCTGTCACAAAAATAGTACAATTAAGAGAATCAGTCTGTAGAGGTTTCAATGGTCAGTGAGGAGTAAAGTAGTGACAACAGTGAACAATTTTTCATTTTGGAGAATGTCACTATTAAAAGGCAGAAGAAAAACTGGGCAGTAACTTGGAGGATGTTCTCAGAAAAAGCTGGGATTTTTTGTGCATGTTGGGGAGGGTGGGGGATTTTGTCTCTTAATAAATGCTTTATCAACTCCTATGTGGAACTTTTGGTTCTCATAAGTGAACTGCAATTAAATATTTAAGATGTAGTGGTTTACCTGAGAAAAAGCCATGGCCAGGAATAGATGGACATGGCAACTCATTGGTAAGAAGGCATAAAAAGAAGAAGATTCTAGCAGTGAGATTAAAGGAAGGTTTGAAGATAAAAGGACCTGGAGTTTTAGAAGGGTTATGAAAGCACAACCAAAGACTATCATAAAAAATGTAAAAAACATGCATTCTTGAGAGCAGATCCTGCTCAAGGATACCAAGCAAGAGATTCTCACGTGTATAACAAAGGAAGACAAGGAATTTCTGGAAATCCAGCCAGGAGACCACTAGAATACAGGCTCTATAAAGATAAGAACTTTTTATCCACTGCTGTATCCCCAGCCCTGGATTCATGGTTAAGTATTCAATTATTTTCTGAACAAGTGAGTGAATACAGCTAACTCTGGATTATGGTTACTGTCAGGAAAAGCTTCTCTCATAATCAGACTTTATCCTAAGATCAGGGGGAAAAAAAATCAAGGATATTGCTATTCTGTGACTAACTGGATTGAGAAAAACTCTTAGCTTTGACAGAGGGTAAAAGGGTAAGGCCAGAGAATATATCAGGGCAGAAGTAGCAAGCTTCCCAGGTGGTAAATGGTAAAGAATCTGTCTGACAACGCAGGAGATGCAAAAGACGCAGGCTGGATTCCTGGGTAGCCCTGTGAGTGCTCTGACAGGCACGTCCCCCCTTCTGTGTCTAGTCCTTAAAGTTTTGATATGAGTCAGACTCATTCTTGGGGCTTCCCTGGTCGCTCAGACAGTAAAGAATCTGCCTGCAATGCAAAAGACCCTGGTTTGATCCCTGGAGAAGGAAATGGCAACCCACTCCAGTAGTCCTGCCTGGGAAATCCCACAGTCAGAGGAGCCTGGCCGGCTACAGTCCATGGGGTCGCCAAGAGTCAGACACGACTGAGCACGCACGCACTCAGCAAGCTTGAATGCCTATAGAATCCAGGTGGATTACAGGCAAATGAAGTAAGCCGGTGAGCAAATTAGAGCTTACAAACCATCTAAAGGGGCTGCCTCTATTCAGCTCCAGCCAACTTTTGCTCTATCAAAATAGCAGTCCAGTATGGCCAGATCTTATGATTTCAAAGAAACCTCAAAAAAATAAATAAATAAACAAACAAATCAGCTTTGCAGTATCTCATAGAAGTACTGGTAAATTATAAAGCCCCCTTAAAAAAAAAAATACACAGGGCCAAAGAAGACACACCTGCAGGCAACATGTGAGCCATGGGCTCTGGCAAACAGAGCCAAGCTGGAGCTGATCTACAAGAGATTTAAGGAGTGCCAAAAAGACGGCAGTGGCTCAAAGAAGTCGACTAACATGGCTCAACACACCGCTCTCAGGGAGTCACTTGAACTATTTAAGAAACTGGCTGGTAAAGAATTATGAAAACCTACATCCCTCTCACCATGAAATAGCCCAAATCACTGGGAAAACCAACAAATGAGAAAGCATTTGTGGCTGTTAAGGTAAGTATCCTTAAGTCACTCAGCTACTCAAAGCTCTTGAACAGTTCCTGTCCTCTCTATGCCAACAACAGTTTTGGGGCAAGAATCCAAGCTGCTCTCATTTCTACTTTACATGATTGATGGCCCATTCCACCCCAAGTCGACTGCTCTTCCTGCTATGCCTGTACTTTCCCCTCTCCATCCCCAAAGCTCTTTCCTAATACAGTCTAAGTGCATGAAGTTTCTAAAATATGAAATAAAAAGTTCTCCTATACCTTCCTATCAAATATGGAAGTAAAGTCCCTCCAACTCTCACCCCCAAAGCAACAAAAAAAGTGTGCCACTATTAGTTGATCAGGGACTTTACAAATTTAAAAAGATGACACCCACCCACCAGAATAGCTAAACTTAAAATAGTAAATACCAAGTGCTGATAAGGAATTAAACTGACTGGAAACCATATGGTACTCAGTGAATACACTGGAATCAGTCTTTTTGGAAAAGTATTCAGCAGTCTTTACTAAAGCTAGCTACCCTATGTCCCAACAACTCCACTCCTACATATATACCAAACACAAACAAGAGCAAATATCCACCAAGACATGGACAAGAACAGCAGCCCCAAGTATAATAGCCGAACTGTGAAAGTCAACCAAATGCTCATCAACAAATAATCACACAGTGGACTGCCACGAGACTAAATCACCTCCAGTAACATGCTACAATACTGATTAATTTTGATGTTGAATGAAAACGAGTGTATTCTATGTGACTCCATTTATATGAATTTTGAACAGAAGCAAAATTACTGTTAGATCAAAATAGTGGTTACCTTTGGAGAGCAGTGGGCTTCCCTTGTGGCTCAGCTGGTCAAGAATCTGCCTGCAATGCGGGAGACCTGGGTTCGTTCCCGGGTTCCCTTCCAGGGTTGGGAAGATACCCTGGAGAAGGGAAAGGCTACCCACTCCAGTATTCTGGCCTGGAAAATTCCATGGATTGTATAGTCCATGGGGTCACAAAGAGTCAGACACGACTGAGCGACTTTCACTTTGGAGAGCAGTAATGATTAGAAGGAAACAGAGTGGGCTGTGGGGATAGTGATAATGTTCCTTTTCATTATCTGGATGCCCAAGTATTTTCACTCGTGAAACTTGGAGCTAAACCTGAGTTACACTATTACGTATATTTACATGTCAAAAAATGAAGAACAGGAGAGACAGGACTTATGCTAAAGTATTATCATTTCTTCAATCCAGAATGATCCCTGCCCTATTTATTTACAATTAATTGCTATGCATTTACCATCATAACAATTCTTTTTGTATCCCAACCATGCTTGATGTTTTCTCCTGATATTTAAGTGACACCAATTTCTAACATTTATATTATTGACAAACATGAATCTGAAATAAGTTCTTTATACCTAAACACTTTATCAAAACTCCCTACATTTCTATATAACCGTTAATTATAACCAGAAACACTTCTATTTTAACATAACAAAGCCCAAATGTGTACTCCTTAACATTCAAACACCTACCACAATTAGCCCGCAGCAAAACCACTGTTTAATTTACCCTGAAGTTACCAATGAATATCCAGCTGCCCCGCTAAAATCAAATTAAAAATTAACTTTTCCAGGACACTATTCTATAGGTCGTCCATAAAGTCAGGACACAAACTTCAGTTTTATAGACCGAAGATGTCCTTGACCACCGTAAATTTATTAAACTATAGATGGTGGAAATACAGCAATGAACAAAATAGACAGGACTGTCTACTCTCAAGCTTATGTTCTGATACCTTGACTGTAATAACTACCTCGAATATAATAAATACAATATTGAATCACTTTTTTTTCTCATGATTTCAATACAATCGTGTTTTTATCTGCGGCACAGAAAGAACACAAGCATACTGATAAATGATGTAATAACCACATTCTTCCAGTAGTATTAGAGTTGCAGTAAAAAGGTGTATACTTACTGTATAATTAGAAGAGTAACTTGATGGGTAGAATTCAGGGGCGTTTACAGACAGCTTAGACATTAATACAGGAGCTACAACCACCTGGGGTTTAGCCATTGCTGACTCCGAATTCTGCTGTGGGATGTTATCCGGCGAACTAGATGGAGCTCTCAGGGGCCTCGTTTGTTCTGAGAAAGAAAAAAAAAAAAATTGGTGTCAGATGCTTTCGTTCCTTTGGATAACAACTTACAAATACGGAAAAGCCATTTGAGCAAGACTGGTTTCTAACTCAAACAAGAACCACCACGAATTTTAAGGTTATCGCCAGGATAGGTGCAGAGAGCCTGCAAAAACGAACAATAGACTTGCTTTAGCTCATTTTATGAACATACTGCTTTCTAAATAAACACGTGAGGGCTTATTTTTCCTTTTTGCTTTTTTAAAGAGTCGGTTAAAAAGAGGTGGGCGCCCGCCTCAGGCCTCCGCGTCGGGGGCCGGGGAGGCGAATTTTACTCCCTCCCGGGACAGCAGAACTCGGAGGGCGCCGCGGGCCCCTCCCCCCGCCGGGGCGCACAAAGGATTCCGGCGGCCACCTTCCAAACCCGGTTCTGGGCCCGTCCCCACCCCGAAACCACCGGGCTCTTCGGGGAACGCTCTCAGGGAGGCGGGGGTTAAAGAGGAGACAGCGCGCCTCCCTTGGGGGGCGCGCGGAGGGCCGTGGTGGGGGAAGCGTTGGCCCAGGAGGACAGGGTCCCCTAGAGCGGCTCCGTACCTGGGAGCGCCCCGGGCCGGGCAGGCCGCTGGGGGCCGGCGGGGACCTCGCACTGGGCCCCTGGCGGCGGGGCCGTCCTGGGCTGGCGCAGCGGCGGCGGCTGCAAGAAGCCCGGAGCTTTGGGTTGAGGCGGCGGCGGCGGCGGCTGGTGCCGCGGCCGCTCAGCAGGCCCCGCTCCGTTCGGGAAACCAGCGCCCTCAGGCCCGCCCCCTCCGCGGCCCAGGCCCCGGCTCCGGCCCCGACCAGCACCTGGGGCCCGATCGAAACCGTCCGACATGCTCCTCCTCCTCCTCCGGGGGCCGCTGCTGCTGCGCTCGGGAGAGGACACGGGGGGAGGCGCCGCGGGCCGGCTCTCGCCGCGGCGCTCACTCAGGCCTCATGGAGGAGGAGGGCGGCGGGTCCCCGCTAGTCTCCTCAGCGCTTCGGGCGGGCGGAGCGGACGGCAGCTAAAGCACCCGCCGAACCCGCCGCTCCGGAGCGCCCGCCCCCCGCAGATAGCCTCGGCTTTCCGATTCTCCCCCCAAATCCGGCTCTCCCGCCTCCAGCGCGGCGGGGCCGAAGGCGGGTCACAGCGGCCCCCCGCGGCCCGGAGGCCCCGGGCGCGCCGGCCTCGGCTCCTCCCGTTCGCGGCGGGCGGGCAGCCGCGGCCCAGCAGGCGGTCCGGCGAGCGGCGCCTAGGCCGCGGGGCCCGGGCGGGGGCCCTGAACGCGGCGCTTACCCCTGCTAGGCCCGGCCTGCGCGATGGTTCTCGGGAGAGAAGTGCGAGACTGACGGTTGAGGCCAGGAAAATAAATTACGGGGGGAGGGGGCGTGGAGCCGGCGCCAGGGTTCGCGGAAGCGCACCTTCCGGGGGCGCGCAGGTGTGTTCGATGTGCGCGCGCAGGCGAGACCCGAGCGCTGGCGGGGAGCGGGGCAGTGGAAGCTCGTCTGCGACCTGCTCTGTTAGCTGCGGGGGAAGGGAGGAGGAACAGAATCGCAATACGCCCCCCACCCCCGCCCCTCTCAATTCACTGTAGGTGTTTATCACAGTAGGTCGCGGTATGACCAAGCTTTACTCTCTTCTCTTTTTCTCTTACCCTCCAGAAATTTTAAGAAAATACACTACCTTTCAATGAAACACCTCTCTTTTTCATCTTCTGCCAGTGCTGTCCAATCAAAATATGAGAGCCACAAATGCAAGCCACTTTACATAGTTATAAATTTTCTAGAATGCACCTTATGCGAGTGAAAAGAAACAGGTGAAATTAATTTACATAATATCATTTACTTAAGTAGATCAAATGGTATCATTCCAACATGTAATTAATAAAGATATTGAGTTTTTTTTCATACTAATCAAAATCCAATGTGTATTTTACGCTTCTGGCATATCTCACTTAGGATGAAGTCGTTTGAAGTGCTCAGTAGCCCTCTGAGGCTAGTTGCTACTGCACTGCACAACAAATTTCTATCCATTATTTATGTGTAAATTATTGTTTTTTAAAAATCATCTCTGATGGTGCTAAAGCCAAATGAGGGGAAAATGTAAGTAATGGAAAGGAGAAAAAAATCGTTTTTTCACTATGAAATTGAAACATCTTCACAAATTGATTGTAGCCCTGTATTTTAAGCAAGGGTTAATGTTTTTCAATTTTGTCATTTTGAGAATCATTTGTTAGGAAAAAAGAAACCTCCTGTTAACAATTTTTTCTTCTTGCTAATAAAGAAAACATTGACATCTTCACCTAAATGAAGGAGGAAAATGGCTCTGATGAAGGCGTGCGTTCTCAGTCCTGTCCACTCTGTGTGACCCCATGGACTAAAGCCCGCCAAGCTTCTCTGTCCATGGAATTCTCCAGGGGAGAACACTGGAGTGGGTTGCCATGTCCTCTGGCAGGGCATTTTCCCAACCTTGGGATGAAACCCACATCTCCTTCATCTCCTGCGTTGGGAGGCGGAATTTTACCATTGAGCCACCTGTAAAGCCCTAATGAAGGCAATCATGAATAAATGATTAACACTGTTGATTGTTGGCAAAAATAAGTAAGGGATGGAAGCCAGCAAAAAGTGTGGTTCCTCGGTGCTGAGAAAGAAGGTAGGGTTCAAAGTAGGCCAGATGTTTGGTTTGGATCCCTGTTTAGACCCTTAATGCCTGGGTGGTCTTGGGTAAGCAAGGGATTTAGCTTCTCTGAGCCTCAGTTTCCTCAGGTATGAAATAGTAAGTATCCTGCAGCACTAAGCATATATCACAAAGACAAGATTACAACTTAAAAATTAGATGAGGTAATGTCCATAACATAAAAATCCATTCTTTTAGGTGGTCATCACTTCTTGCTTGGATTTTTCTATTGTGTATGAAAGCCCCACAAACTGTATGCTTAACAAGAGTTATCCTGTATGTTCCACCAAAGTAGCTGATCCAATCCTGTCCCAGACTTTTCTTTGCATTCACCTTGCCTCTTTTCTCCCCTTAGAACTTGATGGCTAGCTCCTTTTCCATATCTAAGACTTTCTTATCTGAGAATGAGGCTATTCTGCATCCATGGTGAGATCAGGTTATCTTTATAGCCCCTTTTGTTAGATAAATTAGATAATTTAGATGTTGCTCTTTCAGTTCAGTTCAGTCACACAGTCATGTCAGACTCTGTGACCCCAAGGACTGCAGCACACCACGCCTCCCTGTCCATCACCAACTCCCAGAGCTTGCTCAGACTCATGCCGATTGAGTCGGTGATGCCATCCAACCATCTTGTCCTCTGTCGTCCCCTTCTCCTCCTGCCTTCAATCTTTCCCAGCATCAGGGTCTTTTCCAGTGAGTCTCTTCTTGGCATCAGGTGGCCAAAGTATTGGAGTTTCAGCTTCAGCATCAGTCCTTCCAATGAATATTCAGGACTGATTTCTTGTAAGATTGACTGGTTTGATCTCCTTGCAGTCCAAGGGACTCAAGAGTCTTCTCCAACACCACAGCTCAAAAGCATCAATTCCTCAGTGCTCAGCTTTCTTTATAGTCCAACTCTCACATCTCTGCATGACTACTGGAAAAACCATAGCTTTGGCTAGATGGACCTTTGTTGGCAAAGTAGTGTCTCTGCTTTTTAATATGCTGTCTAGGTGTGTCATAGCTTTTCTTCCAAGGAGTAAGCATCTTTTAATTTCCTGGCTGCAGTCACCATCTGCAGTGATTTTGGAGCCTAAAAAAATAAAGTGTCAGTTTCCATTGTTTCCCCAACTATTTGTCATGAAGTGATGGGACTGGATACCTTCACCTTCATTTTCTGAATGCTGAGTTTTAAGCCAACTTTTCACTCTCCTCTTTCACTTTCATCAAGAGGCTCTTTAGTTCTTTCTTGCTCTCTGCCATAGGGGTTGTGTCATCTGCTTTCTGAGGTTATTGATATTTCTCCAGGCAATCTTGATTCCAGTTTGTGCTCCATCCAGCCTGGCATTTTGCATGATGGACTCTGCATATAGGTTAAATAAGCAGGGTGACAACATACAGCCTTGACGTACTTCTTTCCCGGTTTGGAACCAGTCTGTTGTTCCATGTCCAGTTTTAACTGTTGCTTCTTGACCTGCATACAGATTTCTCAGGAGACAGGTCAGGTGGTCTGGTATTCCCATCTCTTTAAGAATTTTCCACAGTTTGCTGTGATCCACATAATCAAAGACTTTAGCGTTGCCCTTTGTCTTCTGCCTATTTACTGTTATGTAACTTTAGCCCTGTTATGGTATAGGAAAAGTGGACCTGGGGGCAAACATGAATGAATTTTCTACATAGCTGTTGCTCTGATTCTTAGTTCTTCAGACTTGGGCTGGAATTACACTACTCTTTCCTTGGTTTCCAGCTTGTGGACAGTAAATCATGAGATTTCTCAGCCTCCATAGTCACATAAGCCAATTCTGCATTATAAATTGTAGCCATCTATCTATCTTCTGTTAGTTATATTTCTCTGAAAAGCCCTGAGACAGAAATTGATCCTGAGAAGTGGGGTGCAGGTGTAAAAAATACCAAAAAAATGTGGTAGTGGCTTGTGAACTGTTTAATGGGTAGAGGCTGCTAGTGATTTCTTTCTTTCTTTATTTTTTTTGGCTGCATGGAATGTGTGGGATCTTAGTCCCAGAACAAGGAACTTGCCCCCTGCAGTGGTAGCATGGAGTCTTAATCACTGGACTGCCAGGGAAGTCCCTGGTAGTGATTTTTTATAAAAGCTAGAAAAAGTCGATATTGCCATGAAGGGACTGTTAAAGGTAATTCTGATGATGGCTCAGAAAGAAAAGAGGAACGCTGTAGAGAAAGCTTCCATCTTCTTAGAGAATAGAAATAATCACATACAGAGTGTTGGTAGAAATATGGGTACTAAAGATGATTCCAATGAGGTCTCAGAGAGAAATAAAGATGTCATCGGACAATGGCAAAAAGGCGTTCCGTATTACAAAGTGGCAAAGATCCTCTCCAGCTGTGAACCTGTGAAACCAGTTCAGTGATGTTTCCACCTAGTCTATAGTATTTTGTTAAAGCAGCCCAAATTAAGCCTTTACCCAGAGAAATGAAGATTTATGTTCACACAAAAACTGGTACCCAAGCTTTTATGATAGTTCATAATAGTCCCACACTGGGAACAATATAAATTCTTTAATGGATGAATGGCTGAACTGTGGTATTCATACCATAAAATACTACTCAACAAGAAAAAGGAAAAACCCCTGATAAATAGAACTTTGATGGCTCTTGAGGGATTATGCTGAGTTTAAAAAGGAAAGTAATCTCAAAAGGTTATTGTATGATTCCATTTGTACAACTTTTCTCAGTGAGGCAGCAGTGAGCGGTGACTGGAAGTGAGACCTTAATTCTCTGCCCAGGAACTGAACCTGGGGAACCTGTGTGAAAACCAGGAATTCTAGCCACCAGATCAGCAAGGGTTAGAGGTTAGAAGCTAATTTTCCTTGGATCTTTGCGCCCCAGTGAAAAATGCATTTATCACAGAGGCAGAAAATGTAAATGCAGGTACAAAGCTTATTATTAGAGACACAGCACAACAACAAGTGGGAGAACACATAGAGAAATGGTTTGTTAGTTAAGACAGAAGCAAGGCAGAGACACACCCAGAGAGAAAGGGTGTGGCTGTCCCCCCTAGTGAGGGGGAGCACAGTATGGAGGTAGTTAAGTCACTTCTATAGGGCAGTTCTTCTGGGTCCTTGTTTTGCTTCAGGCCAATTTTCTGGTCTCTTTTTTCATACTTAACCTATCCTACGACGTGCAGCTGTGTGCACATGTATCCCTCAGCTAAGGTGGATCTT